AATAATAGATTTTATATTATTATTAATTTCATTTTTAATATATTTTAAACAATATAAATACTTATACTCAAGATATTGTAAACAATATTGATGATAAATATGACTATATGAAAGAAAAATTGATATATGAAAAGTAGACATTGATTGTAATATCTGACAAGAATTTTGAAGATGACATCTTAATAATGGATTAAATGGAGGATATTCTGAACTGAAAGCCATTTGTAAATGTCATTCATCTATATCTATATCAAGAGTTGCAAGATAACATAAAAGTTTATTTTTACCATGTTGATTAATTTTTATCTATTTGCTTTTTCCAACATTATTTTTAACTTTTGTAAATAATTCTAAAAGAAAAATAGTTGCTTTTTTAGTTAAACCTATTAAATCTTTTTTACAATAAAGATACTTTTTTGCTGCAATAAATGTATTTTGAAATACATTATCATGACGAAGATAATTAATAACATGAGCTATTCTTGAAAGTTGTTCATGTGTATCTGTCTCTCTTATTTGTCTTCAAATTAATGAATGATAATTTTCTACAGGATAATCATTAAATACTGCAAGATGATTTTTTAAAATATCAAGAATAGGATGATTAATACTTTTTCCAATACCAAATATCTGAAAGAAAAATTAATGGTGCTTTGTTATAATTTTTCATTTAAAACGTGCAAATAAATACCATACTCTTACACAAGCTTCAATATATGTTTCCCAATTGCCTGATCTAAAAATTGTTGCATAAATATTTAAAACTAAAGGAATAGTATAATCATCTAAAAGAGTTTTAAATGCAAGATATTCAACATCTCTAAATCAAGATAATTCAATTTTTTCCTTAACATATGGAGCAATATTTTTCCAAGCATTTGAAATTAATTGTAATAAAAGATTAATTCTCCAAAGACGAGGTTTGTTGGCAAGTTTTTTTTTTGTTCCAAAAATATGTTTGTATGCATAATTAAAAAAATCATAAAATAATAAAACAACAGTTTCATAACTATTGAGAGATACATGTAAAGGTAGAGCTCCGAACAGGTCGGGTCGGGTCGGGTAATTGACTTGACCCGACCTGATAAGGTCAGATCGGGTCAGACATA